TGTTATAACCGAAGTATTCGAAAGTTCTGACCGAAGCCGTTGAAATCTTTGACCGAAGTAAGCTTACATCGCGGTACTGGGAGCTCTGTGAAATCTCTCATCTTCTCCCTTACGCGCGGTACCCTCGTCACGTTATTACTAGATTATTCTGTTATTTGCTAAATTTGGATATTCGAGAAAGTTCCTAGGTTTATTGAACAATAATTAGCTTGGAACATTCTTATGAAAACGTAATGTTACGAGTGTTTTATTACTGCAGAGGGCAAAAGTCCAAAAACGACGCGGAGCGTAGAGGAGCCGACATTTTTAATTTGAACGAGGCAGTAATAACCCAATATTATTTCGTGGTATGTTCAGCATTTTAGCAGTCACCTTAAAATCTCATGATTTATAAAAAAAGTATATTACTGTATAGTAATGAATTCTGTTGCTGCGGCACGTTAGTACGATATTGTGGGGTGTTGCTTGCCAGATATCTCTTTAAATCTATAGAAATGACGTTTGGTGAGGTTGGCGTGTCGACTTACGGTGGCCTTCCGACACCTCATCGTCAGTAAATATTGTAACGTTCCTCCTGGCGAATTAAAACCAACACAATATTTAAACCAAGAAGGTTTATTCGGGAACAATTATACACTAAATATACTTGGTCTATTTACAGATATATTACACTTAATTATTTCTCTTTACACACGATTCCGTTCTCTTGATGATTTATTTACACAGTTCACTCCTTACACACTATTTATTTACACAGTTCTCTTCTTCTACAGTATCAGCCAGTCCAATGCACTGTCCACGGTCCACTGCACTTGACCCCAAATTCCCTGCACAGACCACAATTCCCCTGCGCAGACCACAATTCCTTGCGCAGACCACACTTCACTGCGCACACCAGGGTCCACTGCACTGCTGTTTACCGCGATGCCCACTTCACAGCTCAGCTTCCACTGCAGACTTCAAACTGCTGACTGCTGTTTCCCCACTGCACCACTGCTTACCGCGATGCACCCTTCACAGCTCAGCTTCCACTGCAGACTTCAGACTGCTGACTGCTGTTCAACCGCTGCACCACTCTTCACCGCAATGCACATTTCACAGCACAGCTTCCACTTCGGACACACTGACGGACTGATTGCTTCTCTGCCACTCACTTCTACTCACGTCTTCTACTAACTTCATCTACTAACTGACTCGCGGACGCCGGCAGCGGCGCATTTATACCTGCCCGGCGCTTGTCTCCAGGCACCCGGCACATTCTGGGCGTTTCCCACGGCTCGCGCATAGTCCGGAACCGTCTAGTTCGGGGGGAGGGAAGGGGCGCCGGCAGATGACGCAATCCACGCGCAGCGAATTCGGCAAGTGATGCAATATTCGTAACAATATGATTTCCGGAGAAGAGTTCCATTTGATGGAATCCCAGGAAAAGAACGTGAATTGACCTATACTGCGATTTTTCTAACTCTGCCCCTCAAATACCTATTTCACGGTGGCACTGTCACTGTCGTGCCTTTCTCGGTCGATGTCGCGCGATCTTATCCAGCACTGCAATACGGTCGCGATCTTGTGACATTTAGCGGCACGACCGAGAACGACGCGAAAAACAGTGACATAGTGCCTCCGTGAAGTAGGGCCTTGAGGGTCAGAGTTAGAAATACCGCGGATTAATATACATTTTTACTTTGTCGCCCGTACGAAGCTACTTCGTAATCGTGCGCCGGAAAAGAATATAGAATAAAATCCCTCTAACATGTGGTGTAGCCAGAGTCCATGTTTTGTGGGTTCTTGTTACTGAAAACTCGATTGATGGCAAAACGTCTCTCCACGCTAGCGCTTAAACCATTCAGTCTATTTTCATCAAAATTCATATTCCCTAATCGATCTGAATGAACTTGAGCTATTGGGAGTTTCAAATGGATATTTTGATGTTTTTGGGTACTTTACATGAAGCTCAAAGTTTTCAAAAGTTTCTCAAAAATTGCACCAATTGTTTAAAATCAAATTTTGTCTAAGCGTAAAGGGCGCCTAAGATAATGGTTCAGATCTCATTTTCGTTGAAATTCCCGATTTTTTGAAAAGTGCAAATTTTGAGGGGCGTCTTCCTCAACTATGAAACCGAAGGTAGAGATTTTTTCCTGAATGAAATCTGTTCCCTAAAGACGTATCTTTAAATAAGTGCGTGGTCAATTTTTGTAAAGTAAGAGTAGTTTTCTTGTAATTTTTGGTGAAATATAGGCATTTTTTCTCAAAAATCCCTCCAAATTACTTCTTTAATTTTTCTCTCATATGTAGTAACGGACAGTAAAAAATGTGATTTATGGTTTAAACAAAGTCTGTTATAAAAAATCAGCTCTGTAATAAAGTTCATGTTCAATTGTTTGGAAAACAAAATTTTTGCCTAATTTGGGCTTGAAATATATGCAATTTCCTCTAATATCGCTCCAATTCATTAAAGTTTCTCCTCGTATGTAATTATGTATGTAAAATTAGTTGTACTAAAACAGCACATACCTTCTCGTATTATTTCTGTCCGTACCGCTATATTAGGCTAGTACATACACAGCAAAAATTATTTTCCACGCCGAGACTCGGACTGTTACTTACTTTGCAGTTAACTCACCGTCACCTCTACCACCGTCACCACGCAATAGAATGAATGTGAAGTACCAAGTCGGACCGATGCTTAAAAATTTGTAATTGTGTCAACGCAACATCTTTCCATCACGCAATTTTTGCAAATACGGAGAGTTCCCAAAAACTGGGACTAGTAATTTTTTTTTCTTCCCCATACGAAGGTACTTCGTGAGAAGAGACTTATGTAATTGTGTGCAGGAAAACGGTGAATTTTCGGCACAAAAACACTTATCGGGCCCTGGTAGCGAAAAAGTGAATAAATCAAGTTCCTAATAAATATAGAAAAACAAGTGCTGCTAGAATGGCACAGACGTTTTTCGCGCTAGTTACTTTTCTAACCTCTTTAGGTAGACTAGCTTTCCTGCTATGCCGTATTCTTTTCCCAACTGTCATCTTTTGCCACACGAAGGATATTTCTTTTTCAATTTTTCGGGTCCCTAATGGTAGTACTGAAACGTGACTTTAAACATATTGTAACGAATATTGCATTTATCTGCCCAGATTCGCTGCGCGGATTGCGTCATCTGCTCCCCCCCCCCCCCCCCCCGCCGAACTGGACGGTTCCGGCCATTCGCGAGTCGCGTAGGTGTTGGCGCCTTTCCCGAAGCTCGAGGCGAGCGCCGCCAGGTATAAATTCGCGCTCCGGCGGCCCTAAGAGTGGTAGTCAGAAAGTAAGCAGCCGCGAATTAGTGTATGTAATCAGGATAGGAGTCAGTCCCGTCAGTGTGTCTGAAGTGGAAGCTGTGCTGTAAAGTGTGCATTGCGGTGAACAGTGGTGCAGTGGACCCCTGGCCTGCGCTGTGAATTGTGGTCTGCGCAGGGAATTGTGGTCAGCGCAGTGGACCGTGGACAGGGCATAGAACTGTGCAATAGTGTAGATTGCAGAGTACAGAGTAAATAAATAATCAGAAGAAGTGAACTGTATAAATAAACAATCAAGAGAACGGAGTCGTGTGTAAGGAAAATAAACAAGTGAAGAACACAAGAACTGTGTAATATACCTGTAAATAATTCAATTGTTTTAGTGTATAATTGTTTACGAAATAAACGTTTTTGTGAAATATTACGACTGTGTTTGAATTCACCACGGAGAAACGTTACAATATTATAGAAGAGTAAGATCCAGACCGACCTCATAACCCAGATGGTTAATTGCGTGTACCGACTCAGTGCTTCGGTCCGAAGGGCCCCGGTTCGAGACCCGCCTTGGGAATGATTCTGTCCCTTGTCTCTCATGGATGTGTTTTCGCGGAGGGCCTCGTGTTCTGCTGACCGTACCGGTGAGAGCAGCCCGTAAGTGTGTTGGTGGCTAGCGTATAGTCGATTATGCGTCTCATTGGCGCGTAAAGGGTAACGGGCTGGATAAAATCTTTGGGGAAAAAAGGTAAAACCTGATCCTTGAAAAAATTGGAACAAATAATCACAATTTTAAATAAATTATACATATAAATACGTGCTTTTGTTGCACCACTAGTTATAATTGTACTACTAATATTAAAATTAATAATTATTCCAAAAACTAGTGAGATGACTTGCAATGAATCGATGGTTCTTTATTTACGTTCATAAGGATGTTAAATTTCTTAACAAACAGGTGCACTTAACAAATGTGTAGGGTTCCATGTTAACAGGAGTTACAGACGCATATGTGAGCAATAAAGTAGTTTACTTCTCATATAAACTAGTTCAACTCACTTTTTCGATACTAGGGCACTCAATAAGAGATTTTCTGTCAAAAAATCACTGATTCTGCCACAGAACTATGATTCTATTGGTTTACTACGTAATTTCGTGGTAAGACGAGAAAGTAAAAGGAAACAGGAGAGATCCACGGAGAACTTGCCCGCGGATAATAGGGAGTTTACTACATTATGCATATGTGATATTCAGAATTTTAATTCAATCAAATTAATGCCTCCTAATTTTCCCCTCCATCACTCACGAATGCCTTTGTCCTTATCTACCGCACATGCCCCACCCACCACTTCTATCCTCACCACGCACCTGTGCTAGCGGCCGTCTTGGTGTTGCCTCCGTCCCACCCTCGTATCCCCCATTTATCAGTGCTTTCGACTCCGCTCTCCCCCGACCTTGTCCTCGGCTCCCTTCCCCCGTCTTCACCCACGCCTCCCATTGTCACATCTTCTCCCTCGCCCTCTCCCATTACATCGCCGCCCTTGCCCTCGCTTCCTCGCCCTTTCCGTCTCCCCTGCCATTAATTCCTTCATCGCCTTCCTCAACCTAATAAGTATAAAATAGTGAAACATCTGATGTTTGCAAATGTTGTAGAGACATAAAAAGTAAATTAATAAATACAAAAGAACACTACCTTGAGACATGTTTCGCCTGTTCTCTTTCTGGCTCAGGTCAATCTTCATTCAAGATGGGGGAAATGGACTTCCTAAGAGGGATAATATGCTGCAATTAACTTTGAGCCGTATGGAAGAAAGTAACCTTTCAACCATCGGGCTGACAGAAGGTAAACGTGGGGAAAGAATATATCACAATAGCTCAGACTATTGCTTCCATTGCTAATAATAGTGCATATATACTATTCAGTGTTGTAGTTTGCCTAATCAAATTAATGCAGTATAATTGTGGAAAGGCAATTACGTCGGAAATATGTTTCGCACAGTTCGTTTCCGTGAGGTGACCTTGCTTCATGGGTCGTCCTCGTCTCCGTCTCACTCTCGCCTTCATCACGCCACCGCCTCGCCCTCGCTTCCGCTCCGCCCCCACGTCCGTTCCGCCCGCTTCGGTCACGCCCTCGCCTTCGTGTCACCCTCGGCTTCGCCCCCGTCTCGCTCCCATCTATGTTCCTCCCTCGCTTCCGTCCCGCTTCGCTTCCGCCCCACTCTTGCCTTCCCCGCACTCTCCACCATCCCTGCTTCCTCGCCCCCGTTGCTCCCACTTCCTCCATCCACCTACTACGTAGCAACTCGTAAAAACCTGATATATGCAAAAGATTTTTGAGACAAGCAAAGAATAATTATAATACTCTTAGCTTATCTTTTTCTGGATACGCCGATTCACTTTCTGGTTCAGGTGACTCGACGACCAAGAAAGAAGAGACTGGTCGCCGTAACTGTAAAGAGCATGCTGACAATGACAAACTTCGAGCCACCGCCAAGAATGTGGTCTCTCGGCCATTCGGATGGAAGAAGGTAAACTTCGGGAGACAACTGTACAATGATTCAGGCTATTCTGTCTTGATGTCAGTTATAGTGCGTATGTGCCATTGAGACTTTTAGTTTATGTTCACAAATAAATGCTCCCTCAAATCTGTACCTACATCAACCACCTATGCACAAACGTGTAATTACTAGGGGAGTATGTTAATTAGATGTATACTTTTCGTTTCACTTTAGAACAATGCCGATTATTATGGAAATTTATTTTATGTTATGACAATACTAAATGATCCATTTTATGTAATTTTTTTGCATTACCGTTAATTTCGTCTACTAATAAGTAATTGTTTCCTCTTTACTCATTTTTCACTGATTTAATCAGTTTTAATACCATTTTAATGGTACTTGCTTCAAACAATATTTACGAGGTGCGACAAATGTTCACCATAGAATTCCTGAGTAGCCTGCATGATTTCTTCGCTCGTATATTGTAGTGTCAGCCGTTGTGAGTACTATGTAATCTAAGGTTATTGTGACGTTTACCGGCACCATTATCAGTTCGGCACAATTCGCGATAAATAAAAGGAAACGTTTTCTTTTAAAGAACAGTCCAAACCCAAAGTTTGCAAGTTGAGTTCTCTTGAACAAAATGAAGAAGCCTCCGTTACATCAGTAATATATCCAACAACTTACGTGGTTTCCTGAAGGGTTTTGTTAAATATTCCTGCCTCCTAGTAATTATCGATCTTGAGGCGGTCTTCATACTGATCCACGCCCTCTTATCTTCCCTGCACTAGCCATCTTCTTCGCTTTCATCTCGACACTTGCCCCGTCTTTACCCACGACCTTACCGGCCTTCACTCACCCTCTCCTCGGCCCCGAACTCTTAAGGTCTTGCACTCGCCAAGCTCGAGTCTTCACTCTGACATTCCATTCGCCCCGACCTCGCCTCTCCGCTCTCTTAATTGGGTCTTCTGCCTCCCTTTCTTACGCATACTTTTGTCTTTGCGCTGTCGTTTAGTATATAGTATTTTAAATGATTTTGTTTGGAAACATGTGATATTCCATTAATTTGTGATATTATATGCCAAGTAGTTTTTACATTTCGTGGAAAAAAAATTTTCAAATGTTATAGAGACAAGCAAATAATTATAAAACACACACACACACACACACACATATATATATATATAATATTAAGCACTCATAACTTACAATAATAGTATACTATAACTATTGCTGCACGTACCTGTCGGGAACTACTTTCACGAAAAAAATAAATTATGCACGGGACAGGTACACTTTTCGTGAATGGGGTCTCCAGATTGGCGCAGCTTGGAAGATAATCGTTATAAATCTTTGCACATCTAAATATTTTAATATCAGAGAACACACTTTCAAATAGTATTTACAAATTGCAGTGCCAGGCCTTGGAAACAAGCGCACGGTTCAACGCTACTTGATGTTTTAAAAGCACCATTTCTCTGGAGGCGACCGGGGCGTGTAGCAACGGCGGCGGTGCTTCGGCAAGCTTCGGTTCGCCCCGAAGTGCCGCCGAATTCGCCTCCTCGCGACCAACTCCTCTGCCCAACGTAACGGCCGATGAATTCGTCGGGGTCCACCCCAGCCGGTATGTGAACAATATCTCACGGGTATTAGGAACGCACGACGCGTGATTGATGTCGTCGCGTGTTCTAGTCTTTTCAGCAACCTTTCTCAACTTCGCGCGAATGTCCGTAAGCACTGCCCACTGTTATATTATACAGGCGGGATTACAAACACTAGCCACCGGCCACACGATTCCTGTCTTATTGGTTTCATCAGTTCTCGGTGCGCATATCTACTTCCATCAATCATCTGACTGTTAATCCTTACTCGAACCTGGTTCCACATTCAGCCGCCACACTCAGTCCGAACTGCACTTAACAACGACAATAAATTTCTTGACGCACCACTGCCGCCGTCCGTGCTTCACTCGAGGCCTCTCCGCGCACCACTAACCGTGCGCTCGCCTCGCCGTATCCCCGCGATTTGGCCGTTGGTGGCGGTGGCGGCGTTACTGCGCTGATCAACTCCAGTACTTTATTTTAATTTATAATTGATCATAGTCTATACTGGGATTAACTTTCTGGCCCATGTTACTCGTCAAACAAGGAGAAACTAGACATAACTAAGAGAGAATAAAGAGCTGTCACGAACGTACTTTTAGCCACCTAAAAGAAAGTAATTTTATACCTTTCGGACGAAAATAGGTAAAAGAGCGGTGAGAAAATATCGGAATGATTCAGACTTTTCTCTTTTAAATACCATTTATTGTGCGTATATGATGTTCGGAGATAGGTTTGCCTTATGAATGACTCCTCAAATTTCTACCCTGCATCACCCACCACGTGTGATTTTCAAACTTCGCCTGCTCTACCCATGATCACACCCACGCCCCGCTGCACTCGCACCGCCTCCTCTACTTTGCTTGCTCCCACCCCTGCACCTGAATCTCGCCCCGGCTTCTAATCCTTACATATCCTCCTTTACCCTTATCTCCTCTGCATCAGTCTCTACTCCTGACCATGCTCCAAGTGCAAGCCCTCGCTCTCTTGGTAACAGCCCACATTTCCCGCAAGTATTGTAGAAGCGCCAACAGTCCCAAGAGCTGCTCCTTAGGAAGCTCGTTACAACCCGGAGTATATTCAACCGACTCATATCTTCAGTCGTGAATTAGAGGAATAATAATAATAATAATTATTATTATTATTATTATTATTATTATATGGTTTATCGCATATTTGTTAAGAAGTGACTGTTCCCTATTGACGAAACTCAAGTGAAACATTTTTTTTATTTATTTCATCAGGTATAAGTAATCAATAAAAAAGGATTTCGGATCAAAGTTGCTCGATTTGTTTGCAAGATCGAATCGAAAAGAAAACTTGGATATTTCCATTTACTCTTTGAACGTTACATATCCTTCATTTTCGGGTATGTTCTGATTCCTAACCGAAACACCACAAAATTTGGTGTTTCTGATAGAGATAAGATCGACCCTTCAATGTTAACGGAAAATCTGCGAGCGTTAAATTTGGTGTTCTTAATGTTTCATTTAGTGTGTCAACAAGTGCCTCGTTAGTGTTAACGTAAAATCGGCCCTTAATTTGATGTACAGTGAAACCTGGCGCAACGGCCGCCTCGATGTTGCCTCTATTAACGGCTGTTGGAACAGATTCTTTTTTCCCATAAGGAACCTGTCAATATTTACTCTTAAAGAGGCGGTCGCCAGGCCCAACAGTCAGCGGCCAGGCACATTTTCTATATTAACCTGAATTAGACTGTCACCACTTTTTGAATTTGCGATTTTGATCCGTAACGCTATGAGATGCGAAAGACTGGTGGAAATTACAAACGATTACGTATCTTCCTATCGGGACGCAACGCCAGATTACGTAGAGCACTGATACCTGCTTATCGTGGTGAAAAGTTTTAATTTTTGTTTTACATAACAGTAAATGATGTTCGTGCTCTTAAGTCGCCTCAGGGTGTGAAATACAGCTTTATATGTAGTTCATATGGAGCTCAAGTGGACGAATAGGAAGGAACAACCAGTGGCGTGAGAAAGGAAAAAATTGTTTATATTCTGGCAATTGGAAGAGTTTTGTGTACTTAAATGTAATATATAAAATCTTCCAGTATTTATATATTATTAAAAATGCTATAGCGAACTTCATTGCAAAGTTAGATCGGATGTTCTTTTCCCATTTTCTCATCGCCTCTCTTAAGCGTGTACTTAAGATAACGGCTATTTTACTTGTGGTTTTGGGGACTTTAAGACGGGCTTTTCGAATGCTAAAAATTTGATATCCATAAGTAGAAACTTAAATATCACAATTGGCTGCCAGAATTAGGAAACACTGGGAAAATAAGAACAATATGTTTCAATTGTTGCTCATAGTGAATGTGTTCGTATTTCTTGATTTTTTTCTATCCTGTTTCACCAATCAGGCATATTTCTTGTGATATACGTATCCGTAGTTCCCTCTGAACATCACAAGTTTCTGATTTGCTATGTAGAAAAATTGAATACTCGCTGTATTTCACTCTTTCATTGTTCAATTCTCTTTGTTCCTTTACAGAGTTTCATTAGTTGTCACAGAAACAATGGACATTGGTCTCCTTGGAGAAAATATTTTGCAGACTTTAATTCATGCATGGGATTCATTATTGCTACCATGCTCTGATGAAGCAAAAAGGTGCTTATCTGATGTCAAGACAGGGTGTGTGATACCTCATTCAGCTGATGTCTGGGTTGCTGTTGTTGAATGCCCTTACATTGGTTTAAAACATAGAGTTCTGCATTACGCAGATCAGGAGATGGCAGAAAACGTACCTCATCCTGAACAAAAGTATGATTTTGATTGTCATGATTTTATTAAACTGAACCTTTTTACATCTGATGGATGTGATTATGATAGTATGGAATTGGGAAGTCTGCCCCAAGGATATAGGTAATGTTTGAGAAATGTTCATTGTCACCCCTTACAAATATACCAGTTTTGAAAGTGTTCTAAGAATTAATTGGCCTATAGTAAATCATTTGTTTACGTTCATTTTTGCTTTTTAGGTTTCTGACTGAACCGTGTAAAGTCATGGAAGTAAATTTTAATGATCGTAATGGAATGGAGCAGTTATTAAAAGGCGAATCTGGAAAGAATGAAATAAAGTTCATATGCAATGTGGAAGGGCAGGCTGATGCTGTTGTATTATGGTTTGATTTGAAATTGGATGAAGATATTGAACTGACTTCATCTCCCATGGATGCCATTAATCGTGCAAAATGCTGGGACCAAGCCATCTTTCCATTGCAGATTCCTATTCGCGTCAAAGAACTTCAAAGCCTTAGCATGAATGTTAACTGTGGAGGAGGAAGGATATCAATAAAATTATATTCATTTAATGAAACAAATGACAAAAGTGAAACTTCTTGTTCAGATTCTAATTCAACTTTGCTTCATAAAGAAGTAGATCATTCAATATTTGTTAAGACTAACAGTGTACCTGATTCTATAAAATCCATAAAAAATTATCCAGTTTCCAAAGAGATCATTAGTTTCTTAAATGATAAATGTTGGATTAACTCTCTAAATGAAATGTTACATATATTTTTGCAGTCTGATATTGCTAGGAATTGCACAGACATTCTTGATATTTCTCCCTTTCCATTGTTTGGATTAGCATTTCTTAAAAATAGGCAGCAGTTATATGGGATTTGTCCTGTAACTCTGACGTGTGTAGCAAATGAAGAACAGGATGTAACAGCCATAATGTCAACAGCTGAAGCAAATAATATTAGTCGTGACAACTTGCATATAGTACATGGTGAAATAGATGATATTTTGAGCCCATCTCCCAAATTTGACTTGATTCTTTTAACTCCAGTTGAAACTACAGGAAAACTACATGAAAAGAATATCACCTACCTTCCATTTTTTAAGTAAGTATGTTTTACATGCGATTACTGCTTTAAAAGTAATGGTAACAATAGTCATGTTACAAGTGACAGTAGTACTTCTCCCTGGATATGCTCTGAAGTTCCATATTCGATTTTCGAGGGGGGAGAGAAAATCGCTTATCCTTTCTTTTTTTCGCGAAATTCAAAAAGTATGAACGCTAGAAAGTAATGTATCAAGGCCTCGTAATAGGTATTAAACTTATCTTCTGTTAACATAAAACGAGCGGCAGATAAAGCTTCACAAAGGGTCGGAGCATTGAGCCAGCTCTTGGTCAACCTCACAGGACGGAGACCGAACAAACGACGGCTACCCGTCTCACGCTCCGTGTTGTGCGGAGATATGCGCAGACGCACTCGCAGGGGAACAGCACACGACGCTCGAGCGCTGCCCAGAGGAAAGAGGCACTGGCTTGCCTGCTGTTACCAAACGTGTAGGCTGGTGGTGGCGGCTGGAATTTTACCTGTTTTCCTTTCTGCGCAGAAGAAGAACCAAATCTACTAGAGGAAGTCACACGAGGGAAGTGGACTAGCCCGTGGAGTAGACCGAACCCTCACATTGGAACAAACAGAACAGCTTGGAAAAGCCTAGGAAGTTGCGCAGCCGGTCTCATCTCGCAAGTGGGGCCATGAGCCAGACGCAAGCACGGCGACATTTCCATCCACCCGACTCAGATCCTCTCTGGACACGGGTATTCCCCCAAATGTCTTCACCACATTAATATAGTACTTTATTTGATCTTGCAACCCGTCTGGGAGCACCTGCTATTGTGCCAATTTGGCAAACGCGTGAACTACCTTTGGCATCTCTTTCACTTTTAGCAACCCTCCGGCAGTTTCATGTTGTCAGTTTCATGGTGGGGTAATCCAATTATTATAGTTGGAAGTAGAAGACACTGTTCTGTTCTTGAACAGTCATTCTTTCTCATTTCTTTCATACTTGAAAGAACTCACGTTTAGGAAATAAGAATCGCCAATATTGTCTTTTTCGGAGCCGGCTACGTTTAGCTCCGATCTAGCCTTGCCGCTGTCTCTGCAGCGACTATGTCCAGGTCTTAGGATACCAGTCCCGACGTATTTTCGACGCTAGCTAGATACATAGGTCATATTCAGGCGCTGTCGGGAGAATTCTAGCGGACGGATATTTTAATAGTAATTTTTTCCGTGATATCTCCGATCGATATCAGGCGAATGCCGCTACAGAATGTACCCTAACAAATGGACCACGCACCGCGTGTTATATTTCCTTCCTCTTGTCTTATCCTTTCTCCTTACACATACACTTGCATGCACTACACAATCACATGTCGGGAGCTCGGGGGTTGCCCCAGCTGGGATAGTGCCTCGCTGGGGAGATATCTGGAGGAGAATTCTCCCGTAACGCGTCGTGTAGATCGTAGCCGGATTTCCTCATTGAGCGGGGAGATAATCCACATCCAGGCTTACAACATTCACTACAATAACGGGATTAATAGCTATTAATGCTATAAATATGTTTATTTTACTAATTTTTTCATAATGTTTAATTTCTATGTTTCGAGCCTTCGAACTGCAGGTGCTCGAATTCAGTGTACTAATTAATGAATTATTATTTATTATAAATAATCAAGTTGGCGATTGTTTCACAAGATAACTTGAGACGATTTTTATTAAATAAGTATTCTATCGGCGCGGTTAATAAAGCAGTCATAACTTCTTTCCACATCTCCAATACACAGTTTTGTTTGTGAAGCGTCGTTTGTAGAAACGTATATTATACTGTGTATTGTATACGACGATATATAATATATGTACTTCATAGAACAGTCCTAAAAGTTATTTTACTGTTATTTGATTCGTGTTAGCGTCGTCATTGAAGCGAAGACACGGTGGGCAAAATTTGGGCACATTAAGACTGAATCCTTGCTAACCTTTCGTTTTAACATGATCCCTTCCTTTCAGCGACGAGAGGAAAGTGGGGCTATGTAGAACAATGCACCTCTCTTCTCCGAATGTACGATGTTATAAATCATTGTAAAAATTCTTGACAATAGAAGCGAACTGTGCAGAAATAAAACATTTTAAAGAAATTACATGAAAACTACACATCTAGACTGCAACAATCGAGTGAATGAGAAATTTTCTACAAAGAAAAAAATGTAAATTTCACGGTGGATTTTCGCGATAAACACTGGAAGGTTGGCGCAATTCTGGTTTCGTATTCAGCGCGTATACGTAGAGAAACGTGTCAAGTCTTTGGGTCTCACTTTTTTATATTGTGTGCCTGTTATTGACACTGCTACGTTCCCGATAGAAAATCATAGATCCGAAAGTTGCTTCGTATTGATAAGTAGTGCATTCACTTTTGAGAGCTGCTATCTGGCCCACAATGAAGGGATAGACGATTTCGGAATATCTCCAAGGTATGAGACAGTAGCCGGGACTTCAACGCCAGAGCGACCAAACTGGCGGGGGATTGAGGACTTGACAATCAGCGATCACCAATCATCACATTCTTCCTGCGGACGAGGGAACACGTCAGCCAGCACAAAACCGAAGTGAGGAAACTGGCACGGAACGTCGACAAGCTAGACCCGCCCAAACTTAGAAAAACTGCAGCACTGGGCATCGAGAATAACCTTATGCTACCCAAGAATCGGCGCTGAGGGATTCGTGCGCAAAACTATGTCTCTCCTACACAAGGCTTGTGAGTCACCAATGCCCCGCAAAACAAACCCTCGGAACTGCAGGCGAGCGGTCTTCTGGTGAACTGAAAAGATAGTGAAGCTGGGCTGAAACTGCCTCTGGGTCCGACAAAGGCCGCAGGGAGCGAGATGGAGACCTAAAAAAAGCGCTGCTGCCTGCTCAACTCAAGGAGGCGAAGATGTTGACAAGGGCGATCAACCAGAGCAAATTTTAGGTCTGGAAGACATTTATTGGTGAAATAGATCCACGGTGGCAGAGCTACAAGATAGTGACCCCCCAAAACTAAGTGGGAAGTCGCCAGAGGGAAACTTTGATACCGACACCCGATAAGACCACCAAGTATGCAAGACGAAAATATTGTTGACATCCCACTCTTCGAAGAACGAGAACCCTTAGAAACAGCCACTGGTTTGCCAAACAGGAAAGCCCCAGGACCTGTTGGCATCGCAACACGTCCTGAAAGCAGCGGCGCGAGAATGCCCGAATCTTCTGTTGAACATGTACATCGCCTGCCTACCAGACGGAATCTTCCCTAAGCGATGGAAGAAACATCGACTGGTTCTCTTGGTCAAGGGTAAGGGCCAAAGGGTCCTTTATTCCCATTTGCGTGACACGGCCGGGAAGCTATTCGAGAAGTTACTAAAACTACGTCTGCTGGCGGTGTTCTATACGAACGACTATATAGTTTCAAAACCGTGCGATCGACGGCCGATGCAAAGTTGTGGTTTGAGATGACTTTTAACGAACCACGTTGTATCCTCCATGATTACTTGAGGAAGAGGAAAATCGGGATAACAGCTAAGCCCTCGTGTCCGTGACGTGATGGCAGGCGTAGTGGAAGGATCGATCATGGAACCAGACTTATGGAATGTCGCACATGATGACTCATTCCAGTTGAAAATGCAAGAAGACGCGGCGTTGATAGGAGACGCCGATGAAATTGCAGCGATAGAACTTCAGTGGAATCCCAACCAAGTTATGAAACAAGTCAACTTTAGTGGAAGAACACCCTCTCGGCCTAGCTACAGAGAAGACGGAGCTCGTCCTCTTGACACAAAGGCAGATGAGGCTTGCAGCAGATGAAGATTCAAAAATAGCTATGAGCAAGCTCATAGCAATCGTAGGAAAATCAATATCAAGCCAACTGCAACTATTTATCTGTAACTCTTATCACGTTCTAGGTATCAGATACATGGGCAGATGTATTCGCGAGGGAATATCTCAGACGGCGCTTGAGTGCGGTACAGAGGACAGCAGCACTACGAGTTGCTGATACATAACAGTCTCCAAACCATCGGTGCTTGTTGTGGCCGAAGTCATAACCATCCACCTCGTAGCGCAAGAAAGAAACACATTTGCTTGACGAGCACTCAACTGGGAAGCCGACGAGCCCGTAGAGAAAGTAGGGCCCTCACTCTGGAACGCTGACGGAACAACTGGGAGAACGAAAACCGAGGAAAATGGACAGCCAATCTCGTCTCGCAAATTGCAACTTGGCTGGACGCAAGCACGGCCAAGTCTCACACATGACTCGTTTCCTTACTGGACACGAATATTTTAATATCTTCTCGGGATGTGTGAGGGAGATAGTGAGGAATGTGCACTGCCACGCACAATTAGACGCCGCCGCACACACTTTCTTCGCTTGCGAGAGGTGGGCAAGCGACTGAAACACGCAGGAGCAATAACTCTGAACAGAATCATTCAATGTTTGCCATTGAAGAAAATTGATACGAGAAAGCCATCTCCGCACTAAGAGGGTAGAGAAAAACCCACGCCTTTCTGGAGGAAGAATATGAAGCCATAAGATGACGAGAAAAGTCGTCTGAGGATGAAATACAAGCAGCTATAATGCGAAACCGGTTTTGTAACGTTCCCAGTTTCCCTTGTAATAACAAAAGTAGCAATTATTATTATTATTATTATTATTATTATTATTATTATTATTATTATTATTATTAATTATTATTAATTTAGATAAGAATAGGGACAATAAAACAAAATTATTTTCTTATATTATTTTCTCATAATCATGAAGAGTCGTATAATTATACAATTATGAGAATATGGTATGTCGAGAATCTTGATTCATACTCCAGGGCTCGGAGGGCTTGCACACATACTACTGCAGATTATCTGCATACCCTGTTAAAGATCTTAATGACCTTTTCTAATGTTGAACGTAACTTTGTTTTTTGATTTGCACATTGTAACTTCCAAGTAAAATTTAATAGTTAAAAATATTCCTAAGCATGAAGATGCATCTTACTGCTTAAAAAAAAAATATAGTGGCTCATAGAATATATACGAATATAGAATATAACGCTCATAGAATATATTTTAAGAGTAAAGATGCTTCTGAGTGGATAATAATGTGTTGCTCAAGTATCCCTTCAACACCTGTGGGTGATAAAAATTCAAACTTTTTTTGGAACACTTCTTGCTGTGGAAACATTTTCCCCCCATAAACTAACTGACATTTTTTTTATTTTGTATTATACTAAAACAAATGGAATGAAATCAAATCACATCTAATTAGGTTTTAAACATGATTAAGATACTTTATTTGCTTGAGAATGATCTCACTCGCTTATACTTTCCTCTTGTAGATAAAAATTTTCTTTATTAGTAAATAATATTGGTGTGTTAGAACTCATTTGCAAGTTGGTAACTACAAGTAAATTGAGAACATGCAAAACATTATATGCAAATGGCTAATGAAATAAAGTTAATCCTTGGAACAACAAAGTTGGTAGTTTTGTAGTAAATAGGGCAGAAATTCATCACATATCGCACCTCCAATAGAAAAGTGGCACAAGTGCGAATTTCTGATTTCTCCGAAATTGCAATTTTATGTTTCGTAATTCTGTAATACTCGTTATAGATTGTACCAAATATTCACCTTCTATCAGACAGTAATTGAACTAATTCAAAATCAACTTCAGAATAGTAGCAGTACCTCTTGGTAACCTCTTTTATCAGCTTTTAGATGATAAATGACAATTTCGCACTTGTGTCACTTTTCTATTGGAGGTGTGATATGTATTCTAAGTATTTTTAGGTCTGTTGACAAGGAGGAAAGAAGATTTAATTTTAATTTTGCATTATTCTGGTACTTAACGTTTCTTAATTCTCGCATGCTACTAACCGCAAGATGTTAGCAACAAATTATTCTCATTCAGCTTCCTTATGTTGTTTATATTTATGTTGCAGTCTGATCAAGAAACCTTCAGGTGTAGTTGTGCCAATTGAAATAAAAATATGTTCACAACTAATATATTCTCAGTGGTTAAGTGAAGTTTCTTTTGTTCAGAGTAATGATAGAGTATGTGGCTATGATGTTGCTCCACTTATAAATGAATACAAGGTTTGTCTCTAAAACAATTGAACATATTTTAATTGAACTCTCCAGCACGTAACTCAATAATGTACTTTCTTGTTCCCAAAGATATCAGAGCATCTGGACTTCACTCTTTCAACCCTTAAGAGTGATATTTACTCTGAGGTAATGGAAACACCAGCAGTAACAACAGAGGAGCTTATGTCAAATCTTGTTGAGCCTTGGACCTGTGAACTCATTGTTACCATTAAAAGAGATGGTGTTATTAATGCTCTTCCATACTGGTTTAAAATAAAACTCTTTCATGGTATGTCAGAAGTAACAACATATTCTCCAACTTCCTTTGCTAATCAAGCAACAATATTATTTGAACCTCACATAGAAGTTAAAACTGGAGACACCATGCGTGTTGCATTCACTTGCCATCAAGGATTAATGAATGCAGTTATCACAAAAGTCGACTAAAATATCATAAAGTGCATAGTAAAAAGCACAAAAATGCACAAGCATGCACAAAAATTTTGATTGGCAGTTGTCACCATTGACTGCCAGGGAGACAAATTTTCCTACATCAACCAAAGTGGTCACCATTTGTTGGTGTCAGTTACATTTGATGCAATTCGAGCGCATTTGCATCACATGCATGGGGCACCAATGACCATTCAGTGATCACAGCATAGTCCCAAGAAGCCACGCGTTTGGATGGAGAGTTTCTCAATGTTCATAGCCCAGAGATAGGGAGGGCACCCCCCTCAGAGTAATTTTCTAAGTGAGGCATCAATGTGCGTTGAAATGAACCAATGTAGACAACTTTTCAGTTTTTCTTTGTAAATTCTTCCCGTTGTTTTCTAGTTTAAAATAATCTATAAGTCTGTTGTCTTTATCTAGATTTACTAGGAATCTTGTCCTCGTACTTATGGAAGAGGAAAGGTAATGCAGTGTTCTCTAATCCAAACCTCGTGGGGAAATTTAATAAATCTAGATGATCCAAAATTGAATTAACAAGCAATTGTTTTTGTTTTAAAAAAAAAAGTTAAATATGTTGCATGAAGCACTTGCTATCTCCCATTGCCTAGTTCCCATCTTGTCATTCCAATCTTACTTTCTGAATCTTTTGTTTTCCACTCGCTCTCCAATTCCTAAATCTTTTTCCTTTATTGAACAGGTTCGTTTGCATTTTGGCTTCCTCTTTTTGGACCACCAGAACATTTAATTTCATTTTTGTATCTATTGATGCAGATTTTCCAGTGTCTGCCAGGTTGTTTCAGATGCAAAAACACATCCATAATAAAAAGAACATTAGAATCATTAGCTTTTGAAAATATGATGCCAAATAATTCAGTAATGGTGTGTATGAATTTGTGGAAAATTGTCATGATTTGATTGACATGAAAACGTCTCAATTTTGAAATCATTTGTTGGGTATCATTTGAAGATCAAATTTTGAAGAATAAATTGTAGCAAGAAATAACAATGAACCTCAATAGAGTTGTAGGACAAAAAATTGCAATTTTTGAAAATATATGTACCAATACCATATTTGTAAGTGAACTGTGTGCTATTTGATCAACAAATTTATAGCAAAAAATTGGAATCATTGAAGCAAATGTTGAAAATGGTCAATGGACTTCAAGTACCCTTAGTGCTCAAAAACTCCTTAAACCCCTTTTTTGTGTGTGTTTTTTCTTCTTTGAGAATCTTAGCATGTTTTGGAAGGATTTGGGGGATGATATATTTCCCTCTACCAGACTGAGATGCACCAAGCTCACTTGATCTGAATGGTCGACTGGAAGAGTTCTAACCATGAGTTGGACACAAATTATACATGTACTATGTGTAATACTGGCATATATCTGAAAAATCACAATTATTGTTATATTTTTCGTATTTCACTTACAAAAATTAATTTTGTAATTGTAACAAACATCTATGCTTAGGAGAAATATTTTTCGGCACATTTTCATTATACCACAATTTTCTGAAAAGTTGTGGACTTTGGTTAATGGAATGTTGAGTTTTTGATATCAATGTTTAGAGTACTAGAATAAGGTAGTAATGTGATGCGAACCTTGTGAAACATCAAAAACAATCTCTACTTCATCAACTTTTAAGATTTGTTCTCAAGTACAGAGAATCCCTTTAAATTTTGTCAGTGATACATAATATTTTCAGCTTTATTGGCTGTATTTTTATAATATCAGTACAAAATGCATGCACCTTTCCTCTTTATAGGTCATAAAAATTTACTTTCTAGTTATCATCCATGAAAACATTTAATTTAAAAACTACTGGAGGACGAAGTTTTCCTTGTGTATAAAGAGAAACACATACCTAAAACAAATATGACACGAGTGAGAGCATAGAGAGCTCAAGACTCCTAAGAGCTGAGCTATATCTCATTGGACTCACAGGATCGTATTGAGAGGCACTTCAGCAGGAAATCTATGAAGAAACGGTTCAAAGCATGTGCTGTTCATAGCACCCAGATGCGAGGTCTTCCTGGTTCATGTTATTGGACTAATTGGGTGAATCACAGGTTGCAGGATAAATGGAATGTTGTATAGGCTACAGCTGTAGTCATACTAAAATATGTGATATGCCACTTGACAGGTGTATTCTTTTTAAATTTGGTTTTATTATTTAATTACCTTCACTTGTGTATTGTGCTGTAAATATTATGTTTATGCATGTTTCCATCTAGAGTATGTTTGAAGAAACTGGTCTGGGACCAATATTTACAACCTGTAACATGTTAGTGATCTTGATTCACCACTCAGTAAGAAAGTTATATTGATTTACCAATTGCGTGCATCTATTGCTTATTTAGTGTACTAAAAAAACAAAATTAGATTTTTATATTTCTGAGCTATATTACAGACACATCTCATTATGTACAAATCACTGTTGAATTAATGTTCGGAAGGGTAATTTTACAGTATGAAAGCTGTCAAGATCAGTAGTGAGTGTTGTGAAATTTTCAGTATTATCATTAAACCTTATACACATACTTCTAGAGAAATGGCAAATTCTGAAGCCAGATAAGCAGTACATCAGAACCAGACTACTTTTGCTTCAATACAACAAACATTTCTGAAAAGACTAACTTAAATTTCCAGTTACATTAAAAAAGGGGGTTTATGTTGATTACCTATAATTTAGTTAATGGCAATTTATATACTTCAAAAATGTTTTCGTGTATACCATTCTTTTGAGTATAAAAAAATAGAAGTATTGATTTTGCAGATTTCTACATTGAAGATTGACAACCAAATGAATTCTTATGATTCAGATAACCGACTTTAAATTCTTCCACATGTGTCACATTTGCCCTAAGATGTATTACGAAAAATGCACTACACCCTCTTTCTTTGCTTCAATTAATTTGGATGTAGGTGCACTGTAGATAGACTTGCTACTTCATCTTTTGTTTTAGATTTGCTGCTCTTTTGATATCCTGATTTTCCTGGAAATAATGGGTTTTGGTGGGATAGGTATTTTGGATGTGCCTTGTAAATATTGTTTCACTGGTTATTCTTTAGTAGTATGATTCATCAGGGGTGGATACAGAGATGAATTTTGGGAGGGGAAGTTTTTCTTTTAATTCAATATGTTTTGGTTGAATATGTTATATTACAGATTATGTAGACTGATGCAGGTTAAACTCAGCTCATGCTGCAATACAATTTTATTCATCTGAATGTTTGTACGAAAATATTTTTTGCTTGAAAGTTTCATGACTATTGTACTATTCATAACTTGTTACTGAAAAATTTGGGGAGAAGAAATTTCCCTCATTTCCCTCCCCATGGAGCTGTGCCTGGATTCATTGTGATGAAGTAATTTCCAATGCATATTGAGCAAACATGGAAAAATGAATTTCCCATCACTCTCTTGTTGACAGAAACTGAAATTAACAAGTGTACATTTCATATTAAGCAATATTGCTAGGTTTCATGAATTTGATACTAATTTTTGTAGTCCCAGATAGATTTTCAGATTATATTAAACCTGTTAGATTCACTTTGGAAATCATGTTGTACATTAGGCAATCAAAATTTAAAACATAAGTAGTGAGTGATGAAAAATTTCCACTAGGGAATGATTTCAATATTCCATTACAATTCAGCGTGAAAAAAAATGCAGTAAGAATTATAGAAATGTTTTATTATACAAAATATTTATATTATAGTTTTACAATATTTACATTACCAAAAAGATTTATATGTATATTTGTATGAAAATAAAGTACAACCATTCGTTTATAGCCCATGCTGATATCCTTCACACTTTTGTACAAATACTGTTTTGGAAACAATGTATTTGGAGAAAAAGTTATAATCCCTGTGGTACCATCCATATCGAGGTATTCTTATATCAACAATATTTTTTCTCAGGCTATGTTCACTGCATTTTCCTGCAATCTTGTACATATGAATGGGTGAAAACCATAAGTGATGTTTTAAAAATTCAGAGAAATCTGTTTTAGTCAATATTACTATGAAGTCATGGTGCTTTGTTTCTTCATTAAAATCACAGCATTTCAATTGTTCATTAAAACCATGAAAATACATTTCCACTGAAATATAGCCTAAATTAAATAAGTTTTTCTCACAATTTATAAAATGTCACTTATATCGTTATGGTTTTTCACCCGTTCATATACTACATACAAATGACGAGTTGGCATTCACAGCCATTCAAAATATGCACAAATACTTCACAGGGCAAAAAATATTATATAATGTTTGTTTGCCTCTATTATATAATACTGACAATAAATGATATATAGGCCTATAAAATATCACAATACTATATTTCCAGAAGACAAACTGAAAATATTAGCTTCATGTATGCCTCTTAATACCTGAACTTCCCTGACGCAAAATATATATTTTATGTTACATATACCATATTTCTTATAAATAAAACACAAAACTAATAAAAATACATAATTATTCACACACAGGTCCTGGTGTATCATCACAGTCAATGATCTCACATAAGCTTACCACACTGAAATGACTTTGCTATTGCATACCACCTCCATTAATAAGTTTACCATTTACTTCACATTACAAGATCATAAAGACCAGTAACACTTAAAAAAAATACAATTGTCTCAGATTGAATGAACAATGATTTCCAGTATATTGCTTGTTTATTTTTGTCCATTTTGAGTACTCTTGCAAGTCAGTATTGATAATTTACACTCCAGAAGAAATATTCTTGATTCTTAACTTCTAGGGATGACTACAAGAACAAATAATGGAAGCATTATTTAAAATCAAACAAACTTAAAGGCCACAAATTTCATGGGTGAGGGAACATATTGATTGCTCCTGTTCCAAACTATGTGCCTGGTGCAGTGCCTTTACAATAATCCATGCAAAGTATCAAATATTAACTAATAGTGACAATTTTAGGTAAAGTGTTAATGATATTAGCACAAATTTATAAATTCACTATAAAGAATTATGCTCAATAATTCAATTTGATTTGCAAATGTGCCATTGGAGATAAAGTATTTTTAATTCTTGATCAGATGAACTTATTGACATACGGTGACAAGAGCTCTCTAACAATAATTGATAATAATATCTGTTTAATAAATCAATTGTTCATTTATATGTAAAAACAATGTGTAATATTTGCAATTCCAGATAATGCAATATTTTTCAACACAAGGAGGCCATTGTTAAAATGTTAATACACATAGAATTCAGCACAAAGAATTTTTTTAATTTCTACTTTCATTTCTTGAGTTTATCAACTCATATACTCACATGCCTATTGCCCCCTAAATGGGGTGCAGTCAACTTCAACGACCCCCCCCCCCCCCCTTTTCATATTTCAAATGTATACCGCAAATTTTATTTTGTCAAACTCATACATTCTAAACAAAACATAAGTTATTTTGGAATTCCTGAAAGCTTTAGAGATTGCTAAAGAATTGTATGCTTCTGTACTTGAGATTTGTAGTAAGGTCTAAGAAAAGGCCAGACAGTCAATTTGGGCTTCGATTTTTTTATGAAAATACTTTTTTCTCTCCCTAAATTCTGGCCTACTGTTAATTCATACCACAAACCAACTATTATTACGGAGATAAGTAAGTATTTATGAATAAGTTTTTCCAATTCAACTTATTACACTTATCTATTTCTATCACATTTTTTGAAATGTGAAAAAAATGTTTTGACCTTTTTGAAGTTCATACTGTTTACACAGTGAAAATTTTGTATTAAACTAAACCATATCAAAAGGCAAGATGTGAATAAGGGTAAATGTTTCCTTCTAAACTCTCCTTGCCATTCTTCAGCTCCCTTAATTCAAGAACATACTTGCATGTACATAATTTGCAATTCATTTATCAATTTCCTAAAATTATAAGTGAATTGAACAATGTTGAATAGAATTTGAAACTACAAGAAATATCTCTTTTATAAATCAAACTTTGTTAAAGCTCTGTAAAATCTGTCTAATGTGTATCATTTGGCTAAAATGGCACCTACCCTTACTCTCATCTTGTTTGCAGAATGCCGGAAGGGTATTAAAATTCAGCCCTGTGAGTCTACGACAGATTTTATTGTTTTATGTACATTTTATTTTTGTTTTAGGTGATGAATAATCATAACAAGAAAAAACTATTTTAAATATTAGCCAGAATTAAATTGAAAAATAGATGATGTGAACATATCCATAACTTTTCCCTATCTCAATGCAAAACAGGATTTGAAAACCGAAAAATTTCTTATTGTACAAAATAAATCAAAATTTTAAAGCAAAAAACTTGAATGCAAATGAACAATACTTATTTCTTGTGATTTTGTAGTTTCAATTCCCTTCCCAAACACAGTTCAATAAAAGAAGTTTATATGTTAGAAAAGAAAACAGAAATTTGCTGTATGCAATATTTATGAATCTTGCTTATTAAAACTTATTGGTGTTCTGTGGTTAGAGCAACATTCAAAAGAGTTGCCAACCAGACAATAAATTTAAGCAAATGTATTTTAAGTTTAATACAACCTTTATATATAGCTACATAAAGCAATTGATAAACCTACATTCATAGCTTTGAACACTAACAAAACTACTTACAAAGAGCTTTTGCTAAATTTGAGAAATTTTGATATCAAGTTAGCTACTCTTTCTGGATGATCAAGATGAACATCGTGATTCCCTTTTACTACATGACTTGTAAAATTATATTTCCTTTTGTAAACAGAAATAATATTTTTGAAAAATGGCATCTTGAAAAACGGGGCCGATTCACTAGCGATTATTAATAACTGAGGACACTGAATTTTTGCAAGAGTACTAATTTGAGTTTTTGCATCTACATTTGCCCATAATGTTAACTTTAGCCTCTGATCTGTTGAATAACTATATCCCTCATCATTTCTAATAAGAGAACGTTTCACTAACGTTTCAGCACTTTCATAAGATAGGTTTGAAAACCTATTTTGTGTTAATCTGGTTACAGCTTCATTATATGAATATTTAGGTGCAGCTCGTTCCTGCATACGCTGCTCTAAATCACATAAACCTTTATTGAGAGTTCTATGCTTTTCCCAAAATTGTTCTGTTGGTATACAGAATGGTCCAACAGCATCAAGCATAATTAATTTTGCAACAACCTCTGGAAAAATTACTGAAAAATATGTTCCCAACTGAGCTCCTAAGCTATGTGCCATATACGCAACCTTTTTCCACTCAAAATAGTCTACTACCCTTTTTAACACTAGTACATAATCAAAGAAATCTAGTACAAGTCCTGAAGGAAAATGAGATGAAAACCCATGGCCAGGAAGATCTACACACACATAGAAGAAAGATGATGGCAAAAGTGGTATAAGATGGTCGAATGTGTTGGCATTGTCTTGAATTCCATGAACACACAATACAGGCCAATCCTTAGGATTTCCTTTCGATTTAGCTGAAAACAAAGAATAGCTTTACTGAAACTGTTAAACTTCGAGGAAGTTATCTTAACTAGGTACTATCACAACTTGTTTTTCCAGAATTATGAAATGTACGAAGCACAACCTCATTTTTAACGACAAAAAATGTACATAAAAAGATCATTAAAACTATAACATTAGTAATTGAAGGAATCATAATAGAGTAAAAGCTGTCCAAGACGGAACATGATTCGTTCAAAAACATTCCATCTTATAGAGGAAAGCCAAAATTCAACATAACATAAGAACAGTATTTTCGATATTTTGCAAGCGAAGCAAACCATAATTTATCAATGAAAATATTGCAGGAAATAAAATAACAGCAAAATACAGGGGAAATATAAGACGCATTTATTCCGCATTTTATAAATAAATTTAGTGTATGTACAATGTGCTACGCTAGGATTACAAGATAGAACTCCCGGAATTCCATTGTCGGCTGCAGGGAACTTGTTGACGCTTTTGAGAATTGAACGGGGTGCGAACTACCAATGTACGGTTTCGGAGGGACAGCGAGGAAGTCGCGAAAAATCATACCAAAGCATGAGAAAGTCGCAGCGAATCAATCACAGAGTTGGTTAAAGATTCCCCAACAGCAGGTTCGGTATAAGAGGCAAAGTCGTCATGCTTTCTGTCTTAAGACACGATCCTTTGCGCTATGGCATTCCAAAGATTACGTCGGAAAATTAAAAATAAGTTTCCGTCTTAGCCAGGTAACACAGGACTTACTTTACGGTCCTTAAAAAAAATTGTTTCCGCGTTGGAAAGGTTTCCGGTTTAGAGATGTTTTCACGTATAAAAGCGTTCCGTTCTGAGATGTTTTTGTCTGGGATGGCAGGTTTCCGTCTTAGAAAGGTTCTGCTTTAAACAGATTTACTGTATTTACATTACACTCACGTTAATCTTCAAGACGGAAGATATACATTAAAATACGAATGTTATCCATGCCTAGAATTTACTTTAGTACTCTCAGAGGGAAAAATCAATTGCTTATGATCTACAAATACTTGCACATTTTCTTAAATTTTTAAAAATTGAAAATTGTTCTAAATGCACAATTTTGAAAATGTAGCTAATTCCTCAAGAATTACCTTACATCTTGAGTTAAGGGTCTTCAGCACAGTTGGTGTTACACTGATAACCATTGTGCTAATGCAACAGTAATAGCCCAAAGTGATAGGGTAGTCCGCAAAACAATGATCAGTACTGAGGTTTGAGTTTCTCACTAGGGGGTGCTCTTTTGCTCAAAATTTGACACTGCATATCCTCCAAAAATCAATCTGCCTTATGGAGAGCTGCATGCTACGGTAGGAATTATCTTAAAAGATAAACGCATGAAGGGCCTGGTGAAATAATCATAAATGAGACACGTATTTCCACACAAATAAAAGTTTTCATGCATGCATGCCTACTACAGCTCTGGATCTTTTGAAGTACAATATCAGGTCACAGTTTTATAATCACTTTCATAATCTTTCAAATTTTGTTTTCTATTGTTGCAAATCATGAAGCTATGCACTCTAATGTTTCTTTCATTGTTGTGCATTTGGAGGGAATTTGTCAATAAATATATAGTAACAAATAATTTGTAATTGCAAATAGATTTGAAATTTTTGCAATTTCCAGTCATATTTACATAATCAGTGAAAATATAATGAATTTGGCTTCTTCAATAATTTTTTAAATTTGGATGCGGGTAATCTACAGCTTACAAGGAGGTTTGGTTAATATTTCATCATCAACAAAGCCAAAATATTGACAATTCATTACAAAATTTTTTCAGAGACAGTTAGCAGAACCATAAAAACTTCATTTGTCAAAAAAACATGGACCATTTGAACAATTATAATAATGTAGCCAAGTACTGTGAAGCACGGTAATATGTAATATAAGCTTAACAATCTCACGATTAAATACTAAATACATTGTGGTTGTATATAAAAATGTGAGAGGGTGAATAAGTAATTAAGTAACCATGTTCAAAACAATGTAATATCTATATATAAGAATTATTCTTAAATAATGTAGTATTGCTACACCAAATTTACTTGTCATACATTGAAACATTTCTCGTTGAAAAAATACATATTATTATTATTATTATTATTAGAAAATATAATGCAAAAAATTTGTTGTAACAAATGAAAAATTACAATGCAATCTACATTTTGAGAAAAAGTAAATTAGAATTTTAAAAAATATCTGCAACATTAATATTCTGACACACTCAACATATTTACTTATTAAGATTAATTTATATCAATAATAATGAAATAAAGTAATCTTTACTTCAATTATCTACTGTAAACATGACATATTTAATGCAACATTTTCAGTATCTCCTGACCCTATGTTTCCCCATTCCTCCTTCAGCCCTCTCATCGACTTTTCTTTCGGGTAAAGAACTTTCCTAACTCTTCTGTCCAGAATTTCTCAAAAATCCTCAAAAGGGTTGATGATTGAGTGGGAGTGTCGAAAACCTTTTGGCAATTGCAGAGCAACCGCTCTCGAACATGAGCTTTGTTTTTTTTTTTTCTTCTTTTTTTTCGGGGGGGGGGGGGGCATATCTAGCGTAAAATTTAAAAGTCCGTCGTATCCCTAAATTTTCATCTCTTCTGAGTAAAATGTGTTGCAATATTATTAAGTAGTGTTATTTCTTTACAGTCTATTTGGTAAATGTCATTTGTCATACAAGCAGTTGACATGGATCCCATACTATTGTTATCCCCATCTTGCATAGGTTGCGGACTCTTGTCGAGTTCTGCATTCACTTTTTGGCATACTAAAACCCTTCCATCGCACTTGAACATAAGGTTTCTTTCCAGCCACACTTCCAATTACAACCCCGCACTACTTAAATCCTTTGCACAGTTCCTGGATTTAGTTTCCACTAGCACCTTAGCCGCGACCTTTGGAACATTCAGAACGGGATTGTTTTTGCATTATTTGATGACCTATCATCAGTTGTTGTTTTTCTCTCGCCTTACTATGTACTAACGGAATTTGGGAAAAGTATTGTACTGTTACGACAAAAATGTAATCGCGCGCCAGAAAACTGCGATTTATTTCCGCTGCCCAACTCAGGTAACGAAAAAGTGGATAAATCTTGTTCCTGTATGTAATAAAGTAACGCGTTGTGTAGTCGAAATCCACGTTTTGTAGGATCTCGATAGCGAAAAATCGATAGACGGCAAAACCACGGCCAACGCTAGCTCCTAAACCATTCGGCCGATTTTCTCCCAAAAATTGATATTCCCCGATTGATTAAAAACCAAAAATTCGAGGCCTTGTCGGTTCGAAACGAATATTTTCATTTATTTTTAGTATATGTTGATAAAAATGTTTGTAATATTTTGATGTACTTAATATGAAGCCTCAATTTCAAAATTTTCTTAAATTTAGCTTCAATTTTTTATTAGACTTTGTTCTCGTTGAAATCCCTGATTTTTGAAAAAAAATCGCATCTTCCTGATTGAAGATAAGAGATTTTTTCCTTAATAAAATATGTTTAAAGAAAGATTTTAAAATGGAATCATGATTTGATGAATTTTCGAAAAGAATAGTAGTTTCGAGTAATTTTGATTGAAATATAGGCAATTTTAAAACAAGGGTTTTCTCAAAAATTGCTTCGAAATTTTCCTCTAAGTCGTCTCCACTTACGTATCAAAAGAACGTAAAAAATATTTTTAAAATGGTGCTAGTCCCGCTTCCGGCGAACACAATGTGACCAACACGTGTAAACTCTCAGGAGAGCGATCTTCTCTCCGGAGACATGACGTCACAAGAGATTTTCGAAGTCTCCGCAAGAGAGCAGTGTAAAGACTCTGGAATCGATGAGGAATCGTATCTCCTGGGAGATAAATAGTATTCAAAGAGAGTTGGAAGACTTTTTGCTCTCTTGGTATACGAATATTATGGTGTTTACGTGTTTGATTAGCCATTCTGCGTCTGTGTCTGTGCGGCGTTCCAACGTGGTCGGTTGATTTCTGTTCTTTGTGGGAAATTATAAATACAAATGACAAATAACTGTATGTATTTCCTGTGGCCAAACACCACCGTACCGTCAAACCAAGTCTCTTTCCGAAATAAATTCTTTTCCACTTTTCTTGCTTTTTGATTGCGTGAGATATTTCCTAACAAAAAATTCAAATTGTTCTGAAGTTACGATTTTTTGTACATGACTACATTATCGTTATTAATATTATTTTTTATTACATCCTTTAATAAATTAATACTTCAAATTACGGATCAATTGTAAAAATTTATTTGTGATATAAAACCATAATTAGGTATTCTCTTTTATATGCCTGCCCTAGGTGTAATGCATGTATTCAACAAATATATAAAAGCATTAGTTTTTTTATTACCTCGAACAAAAAGCAGCCGTCATTATCGCCTTGTTTTCTGTGCAGCGTTACAACAATGGGTAACAACAACCAATAACTACTCATATATTCGAACACAATTTAAAATGAAATAAATATATAATAATACAATGAAATAATATACAAACTCTAGCTTACGTTGTATCCGATTGTATCCAATTCAACTGGGTTAATTCGAAGTGGTTGACTGAATGCTAGCAATCTTGATTTCAAATAGGTTTTCAATAATATATAAACGATTAATTTGTAAAGTTACAACAAAAGCTCCAATGTAAGAAATGGACACAGTAATATTAATGCACAAGTTTTAACTTACGTAGCATCCAACTGCTTCAAAACAACTCTAAAGTTACGATCAAGAAGCGCAGGATTTTCAGAGCGGGCGACCAACTTTCACGCCATATTGTTCCCAAAATACTCATATTTTCGAAAATTTCATCATGACTATTCAATAATCAGTTTTTGATGGACATTAAGAAAGAAACGTATCTTCATAATTGTAGGAAGTCGCCGAAAAAACAAGATTTTCAACCTACACGAGACCTGCACCATACTTTTAAACGTCCTTCAGACAAAAAAAACATAAATTATGGAGATGTTTTTTGAGAAAAAATTGTTTAAACAAAAATTAAAAACTGCCTAATTTTACATAAAATTACACGAAAAATAATCAATTTTCAAAAATTTGTACTTGACCTTATTCCAACATCTTTAAGGAACAATTTTATTAAAGGAAAAAAAATCTATCCTGAATATTTTAGTTGTAGAAAGACTCCGAAAGAAATTTTGAAATTTTTCAATTTTCGAAACAGAGTTATCAACCAACATCAGACCTGCTCCATTCCCTTAAACGTCCTTCAGACTATCCAACAACAAAATTTAATCAAAAACATTGGAGCCACTTTTTTTGTTTGTTGAAAATGTGCCAGGAGTTTCATGTAAAGTACCCGCAAAATTAAAATTTCGATTTCAAATTTAAGGGGCCGGACCATCAGATCGATCGGGGAATATCAACTTAGGAGAAAATCAGCTGAACGGTTTAGCAGCTAGCTTTGTTCAGTCGGACAGACGTTTTGCCGTCAATCGAATTTTCGGTGTCAAGGACCCACAAACCATGGATTCTGGCTACACCACGTGTTAGAGGATTTTCCCCCTCCAAATTTAGCAACTGGATTAATCCACTTTTTCGTTACCAGGGCCCTGTAAACGTCCTTCAGACAAAACAAATCATCAAAAATGATGGAGATGTTTTTTGAGACAAAAATTAAAAACTGCCTAATTGTACATAAAATTACGAGTTTAAGAGAATACGAGTTTTTCTGCTGAAAATTCGCCGTTTTTTTCACACATTTCCAAACTTTCTCTTCTTAAGCGTGAAAATGTAAAATTATTAATTGTCCACTGCTACAAAATGCACTGAGATAGAAAAGTAGTAAAATGCTTAAATTTGATAACGCATATTTTATCCATTTTTGCCTTTAATTGTGAATATTTGGTTATTTGATAGTCAATCGATGGCTGTATGCATCTTTTAAGACTTGATAGTGCATGAAATCCTGTCTTTAATCGCAAACCACACTAATATAGCTTTCAGATACATCTTGTTTAATGTGTGACATCACTTATAAAACTATGGAGTCAAGAAAAGTATTCAGGTGGTATTCTAAAATCTTCCAAGAAAGATGGAAATTGCATTCTTGAAAGGGAAGAGGATTTGTTAGAGTGTATCATGGTATGCGTAGCTCAAAGAACAGAAAATTTTGGCTCTTGAAAGTGCTTATGACTGTCCCTCACTGAACCCTAGGTATGTATTATTCAGTTTCAGCTACAGTCAATTCTCACCAACTGGCTTTTTCCCATCTCTTGTTTTCAACAGTTATCATGCCACAAATATGTCTAACACATTCTTAAATTTAGTTTTAACACCGTAGTGAAGAAAACTTTTTGAGACTCTTAATCATTAGTTTCTTCCACCATTCAAAGGATATAGCTGAATAAGGGAGTAAAAAGTGCCCCCAAACCAATTTGATAATTGCGATATTCATATGAAAGTGATTAAAAAATATTGGTGCTGGTTGAAGGCTTCCTCTTCCTATATGGAAGTATATTAATGGCTGTAATCTGATCTAATTATGTTGATTTCTTTTTCTCAATACTCTACCACTTCCTAGACAGACACTAATGGTCACATTTCAGAACAATTAGGTAAAAATATAAACTTTTCATTGATATTTGATAACAAACTGCAAAAACAGAGCAAGTTAAATTCAATGGAAATAATGATTAGCTTGTAGGAAGCGTACACTTCAGCTCAGCTCTTTGTTTTTACCCTCAATTTGTAATTGAAATTTTAAAAAAAATTCTTTAACAAGTTATTAATCTGACGATTTTATCATAAAACATGAAAATCTTTCATTTCTCTTCTTCACTCAAACTCCTTCATTTACATTCAATAAAATAACTTAACTCAGGGAAAAAACCTCAATCATGTAGACCACGCTTTAAAAATTAAAAACCACACCGTAAAAAATGTTACAATATTTCTAAACCTTAACTATAACTACAATCTTCAATATATTACTCAATCTGAAAGAAGCCTAGAGGAAATATTACTCCTAGGTAAGCTAATTCGTTAAACATACCAATACGGTCACTGGGCAACGAAAGACTGACTAAATTAACAGAGGATTATCCAACGTTATAGACCAGTAAACAGTTTAGAGAATGTTGATACAAAAAAGTTATAGAAATAAAAAAACAACAAAAAACCTCATAACTCCAACACCAGCAAAAAAATATTTACACTAAACATTTTGGATCTCCCAATTCAGACTTAAAAATTCTATAGGTGACTTTAAGTACCAATACAATTGTGATACACTGAAATCAAAGAGCAACATTCCCATCATTTTATGCATTGAATTAACAATTAGGAATTACACGGTTTTCACTGCTTAGTGACAGTAAATGATTTCCATATTTCAGCAACAAATAAAA